AATGTTGGGTTGGATTTGGATGGGGCACTTTTAAGGAGTACCTATAGGAGTGGCAGTTCAGTGTCAGGTCTATAAATGGGGGAGGTATTTATAAGGAGGCGATATTTAGTGGATAGCACACTAGACTGGGATGCAGGACACCTGGGTTCTATTTCTGGCTCTGCCATTGGCCTCCTTCATGACCATGGGCAAATCATGGTCTCGGTCTGTGCCTCAGTTTCCCCATCTGTAAAACGGAGACAATGATAGTACAAGAGACCAGAATGAGACCTTCATGGGGGAGGAAGGGGGAGATTACTCCACATCAGCCCACTGCTGGATTCTGACCCCTTCCTGTGAATCATCTGGTACCAGCCACTCTGAGAAATAGGAAACTGGATTAGATGAACCTTGACTCTGATCCAGTCTGGCAAATCCAATTCTGGTGTTTACACTTTCAAAAGGCGGTTGAAAAATTGGAAAGGATCCAGAGAAGAAGCACAAGAAGGATACAAAGTCTGGAGAACCTGCCTTAAAGTGAGAGACTTACGGAGATCAATCAATCTAGTTAGCTCATCAAAGAGCAGGTTAGGTGGTGACTTGATCGCAGCCTATAAGAAAGTTTATATGATGAAATTTCTGAGAACAGAGGGCTCTTGAATCCTCGGTCTAATCCTGGTGCCCACAATTCAGGAAGGATGTTGATAAATTGGAGAAAGCAATAATAATCCAAGGATTGGAAAACATGCCTTATAGTGAGAGACTCCAGCAAACCAAAGGTTAAGGGGTGACTTGATCACAGTTTAAGTATCTACATGGGATACCGAAATTGGGCTCAGCAGTCTAGCAGACACAGATCTAACATGATCCAATGGCTGGAAGTTGAAACCAGACAAATTCAGATCAGAAATAAGGTACGACTTTTTTAGCCTCACTCAAAGACTCTAAGTGATGGAGAATCCACCCTTTCTCTGGGTCAGCTCTTCCAATAGTTAATCCCCCTCTCCTTATTTCTAGTGTGAATTTGTCTAGCTTCACCTCATAGCCATTGAGTCTCTTGCCTTTGTGTGATGGACTCAAGAGCCCTCTGCTCTCTGAATCTTTTCCCCATGGAGGTACTTCTAGACGGTGGTCACATCACCTCTTAACCTTCTCTTGGAGAAACTAAACAGAATTAGAATCTTAAGTCTCTGACTCTAAGGCAGGTTTTCCAGACCTTGAATCATTCTCATAGCAATTTTCTAAACCCTTTCCAGTTTGTCAACATCCTTTTTGAAATATGAACACCAGAACTGGACACGGTATCCCAGTAATGGTCTCATCAGTGCCATGTAGAGAGGTAACACTATCTCCAGACTCCTACTTGATATTTCCCTGTTATATGCCCAAGGATCACGTTCACCCTCTTAGCTACAGAATCCCACCGAGAGATCATGTGCAATTGGTTAGGCAGGAGGTCAGATTAGAATAGTGGTCCTTTACTGGCCTTAAAATCTAGCAAAGCAGATAACTCTGAGCCTAACCTCCCAGAATGGAGTTAAGGGGCACTGTGTAGAGTTGGTCGGAAGTTTTCCAATGGAACAATCTTCTGTCAGAAAAAGCCAATTCAATGAAATCAAAATGTTTCACGGGAATGTCCTGATTTCATCAATGTTTTCAACAAAAAATTATCAAAATATTTTGTTCAACTTTATCATATTTACTATTATGTTATGTACAATATATAATCATTCTCAAGACCTCAAATCATTCCTACTGCAATTTTCAGAAGCTTTTCCAATTAGTCCACACTCTCTTTTGAAGAGTGGACATCAGCACTGGTCACAGACAGGGGTGAAAGTAAAATTGAAAACTTACCGATATGGGGCGGAGCCTCAGGCGGAAGGGGCGGAGCTGGGGGTCAGCATCCCCCAGCCAGCCCTTCCACGCTGCCTGGCCCACGCCCCCCAGGGCTCCAGCGGCGATTTAAAGTGTCAGAAATGTCTGCAGAACGGAAATCCCAAATTCTGACCACTGTTTAACTGGATAAAATCACATCCTCACTATCAGTACCAACTAAATCCATGGCACTTTTCCTGAGTAGGGGGTGTGAAGTCCTGAGCAAATGACACTCAAGGTAACAGTACTCGGTCGTTGGGGATGTAGGGGGCAGGGCCGGCTCCAGCCCACCAAGCTTGTGCTTGGGGCGGCACCTGGAGGGGGGGCGGTGCGGCGCTCCGGCTCTGGCCGCCGGGGGAGAACGGAGCCCTGGCCGGGCTCGCCGCCCTCCTCCCGGGGCTCCGGCCGCCAGCGGAGCTGTGGCTGGCTTGCCGCCCGTCCCCCGGCACTCCGGCTGGTCGGGGAGAGCGGCCCACGGCCGGGCTCGGCGCCCTCCCCTGCCACGCTGGGTGGGGGCAGCGGGAGGCTTTTTTGTCTTGGGTGGCAAAAAAGCCAGAGCCGGGCCTGGTAGGGGGAGAGGAAATAACATTTGAAAGTGCTTTTCAAATATTAAACCAATAAAGTTTAACCGTCCACATGAGGGTGTCATAATCATCACCCCCATTTTACAGCCTGGGGAAGATGAGCTGAAAAGAGGTGGTAGGGGCTTAAGAGAATGCAGCTAGGAATTGAACCTGGGTGTCCTGACTTCCAGGCCCCTGCTCTAACCACAAGTCACCACTCCCTTCCTAGAGCTGGGGACAGAACCCAGGAGTAAGCAGCACTGTGTATGTGTGTTTCTATGGGGGCTGATTTAAATACATTTCTCCTTTTAAAGAGCCCGTGAAACAAACAGACAAAAGCTCAGATTCCACACCCAACTCTTCCCAAGTAATCCTTGCAGTATGACTAAATGGAACTACAATTCTCCCAGTGTTAGGTGGGGGAGATCTGAGCGGCTTTTAGCAGCATTGCACACACACTCCCAACACATGCTCCCCAGTCCATCCGCTTCCCACAATGAAATCCTCACCAGCAGGGCCGGCTCCAGGCACCAGCCCACCAAGCTTGTGCTTGGGGCGGCACCTGGAGGGGGGCGGCGCGGTGCTCCGGCCGCTGGGGAGAGCGGGGCCACGGCTGGGGCTCGCCGCCCTCCCCCCAGGGCTCCGGCCGCCCTCCCCTGCCGCGCTGGGGGGGGGGCGTCCAGAGGCTTTTTTGCCTGGGGCGGCAAAAAAGCCAGAGCCGGCCCTGCTCACCAGCACCACCTCCCACTCGCCTCCACCTCCTTCATCTCTCCCCCATCTCTTGACTTGGCCTTTGCAAAAGGCACACACAAGACAGGCAGTGAGGTCTTGTTGCTTCTGTTCTGCCGTCTGCATGGATGCCGATGGGCCCCAGAGGGATAAACTGCAGAGCAAGGAGTTGAGCTTTGGGGAAAACTGAGTTTAAAGTATTGGAGTGTCACAGCAATGCTAACAGATCCCTTCAAACTCCCATCAGCCGGTGCGTACAACTGTTGGAATCTTGCATTCAGGGATGGAATAAAGCACCAGATTTTTATATTCCTCCACCCTGCAAAGAGGTGGATTAACAGCAGTTTTCAACCTGGAGTCTGCAGACAATGTCTAAGGGGCCCACGAAAGGTTCTCATTACCATAGAACAGTGGTTTCAACCGGGGGTCCGCAGACAATGTCTAAGATTTCCAAAGGATCCACAGCTCCATTTGAAAAATTTTAGGGGTCCGCAAATGAAAAAAGGTTGAGAACCACTGGATTAAGGCCTGATTTGTAGCATTCTCCTCCCACCCCCCAGGCCCACTTGCTTCAAAATAACCTATGGCCAAAACAGAAATGGCACCACTGCAAAGGAACGCGTAGCATCTCACAAGATGCTAAGGCCCCCACACCAATAAATAGCCATATGCAAGGCTGGAAGTTTGGGCAAGGGGTTTGCAATGGAAGTGAATGGATTGTTCTAAATGCAGTGGGGGCAGATCCCCAGCTGGTGTAAATCAGTGTTGCTCCATTGGAGTCAATGGAGCCAGATCCCCAGGGGCTATCAACTGCAGGCTGGCTTGGGAGTTTATTACTCCTCCCTGACTGGCTGACGCTGTCTGCAGAGCAATGCAGGAGCGTTGCCTGACGGGACATCAAGATGCACGGGCAGATTTTAATTTTTAAACGTATTTCCTAAGGCAAAGAGGGCTTGGCAAGCTGCAGGTTGGATTTAGCAGCAGTATGAATTATTAGGCAGATTAAAGACTCCTGCAGGAATTCAAATGGTTTATTTTGGTGTGTGTCATGGTAAAGCTCAGCCACTCAGAAGCATCACTCTGCATTGATCATGGGGCTACACTTCCATCAGCCTTCACCCCCAACTCTTGGCAGCCAATGCAAGGTTTTCCAAAGGGATTTGGCTGGCCCAGTTTGAGATGCCTTAAAATGGTCTGATTTTCACAGCCCTTTGTTCAAATCAGCCTCCTCTTGAGGTGATTGGGTTAACCCCCGACCCTTATTCCCAGCGGGGTTAAGATTAGCACCCAGATCACCTGGCTTGCACTGTCAGTCCTTAGTGCCCTTGTCACTAGTCCACGCTGCCTCCATATGGGACTTTGGCTAATGATGCTAGGCAGGCAGTGCTGCCTAGTGGATAGGGCAGTCCACTCGGACTCAGGAGACTTGTGTTCAATACCTGGCTCTGCCACTGGCCTGCTGGGTGACCCTGGACAAGTCACCTCACTGCCTCGTGCTTCAGTTTCCCCATTTGTAAGAAGGGGATAATGATCTTGACCTCCTGTGTAAAGTGCTCTGAGTTCTACTGCTAAAAGGTGCTGTAGAAGAGCTAGGGGCTATTATTAACTCGGTACGTGGTGCCGGTGAGAGTTAGGCTGAACTCATTGCCACCAGAAACTGCTGAATTTAGCAAGATTCCAAAAGGAGAGCTAGACTGGCAAAGTCTTCCAAGTTTAGAACTGGCCTAAGTGCCATTCTTAGGAGCCTAAATCCCCACCCAGGTCTCCTATATCTCAGGCTTGCACATTTACCCCTGTACCATCCTTCCCTTGCAGTTTGCAGCTGCTTTACATTTATTCTGCATGGTGCAAACTCTTTGCACAAAACCAGAGCAAACTGCGATCGGGCCCAAGAAACCGTTTGACTCTCTGAACGGCAAGAGCATTAATAAAGCATCTTTAACTATTTGAGGAACTTTTATGGTCCCATCAGGTGGATGAACAATGGATTTTTTGGTTCATTGGCAGTTTTGAAAAGTACAAAAACAAAAATCATTTCGGGTCAGACCAAAAATAAAAAAAATTAAATTGTCGGTGAATTGGAAAGTCAGGGGGGAAAATTGTTTCAGGTTGAACAAAACACTGATAACACTGACCTGATAACCCCCAAGGATATAGAATAAAACTCCCCTGTCTTTCAGTTCCAAGGGGGGTGGGGGAATAATTCCAAGTAAGGGAAGTGGCTAAAAGATTTGATTCTGCATTGTCCTATGTCTTGTTTTGTCACTACCCCAGTGCAAAGTGATCTGCTGTTCTGATTTAGGTGGCATTTCACACCCATTTTGCATAGGCATAAAGGACAACAGTTGGCCGCAGGGCAATGTGTCCTGCATTTACACCCAATTCACCAAAGCACTCGAGCACATGCTAGACAAGCCCCAATGGGTGCATTTTCATTAGGAAAAAAGGTGTGCTAACTAACATGAGTTAATATCCTAGTGAAGACAAAGCAGTCTGTAGTTTTAACACACATTAGTAGGTTAAAGTAAAAACTAGTGGAGACCCTTATTTGACAGTGAGAGATATTGAACCATAAAGGATTTTATGTCTCATAATGGAGGAAATGGCCAAAACTAAGAGTGAGCCGGGGAAAAAGGAGACAGGGAAGAAAAAAAGGAATGTAAAATTTATAGAGGAGCCGAATGCATAATGAACTCAAGCAAAGTGAGTGGTTCCTAGTGATTTAATGGGCACTGGCCCAGCAGGAGACCTTGCTGGCTCAAATCTTCCATGTAAAGGCCTTGTAAAAAAATAACATTGGACGGGGTTTAATTCAGGTGAGGTGAAAGGGCCCGTGGTGAGTCCCTGTAAAGCATAACCTGCGGTAGAATTCACTGGCACTGTTCTAAACCGACAGCCTTTCACCGCAGCCAAGCTGGGGGACAGAGACACAGCCACAAGGAAGGAAGGTTAGGGATAGATAGATAGATAGATAGATAGATAGATAGATAGATAGATAGATAGATAGATAGATAGGAGTGTGTAGGCGGATGAATGGATAGGTGAGAGAGGTGTGTTTGGGAAGGGATAGCGAGAGAAAGAGACTGTGCATGGATATGGATGGATAGGTAAAGGGGTGTGTATGGGGATAGAGAGGGAGAGCTAAACTGCAATAGAAAGAAAAAGAAAGAATCCTTCAGAGCTTTGGCCCTAGGGTAAAGCCCCTGTGTTAAGGGGCATTGAAACTGGGGCAGGGTGTGTGCCCATGAGTCTGAGTTATGGGAGGTGTTCCTGGAATGGGGATTACTCCCCTCCCCAGTGCAGACATCATCTAGGCCAATGGTCCCCAAAATTTACCTCGTGCCTCCCTTACCTCTAGGGGAGTGCGCCCCACAGTTTGGGGACCTCTCATCTAGGCACACCCCTCCCATTGCTTTACCACCATGCAATCCCCTGTCCCCATCTACTCCACAGCATCCCTCTCCCAGCTACGCAGGGATCCAGGCAAATAAAACCTACCCATAAAACCAAGCGATTTACTGCACTTAATTTGATAGGCTACATAAACCATGAAATATAAACAACAGGACATAAAAGAGCAGCCAAAGGACGTGGCCTTGCAACAAAGTGCCCTGTGGCCCGGACGCTCTCTCCTCTGCAAAGATCTGTTGTCGAGCAGTTGTGAAACTCAGAGGCTGGGTGCTAACGCAGCAGGAAGGATGCTAAGGCAGGAAGATGAGTGTCTGCAATAGAGACAGGAAGCAGGAGCACTCTGGTCCGTGACTCCATAAACTCCACCATTATCCATCACGCCACAGTGCAAGATACAATCTCAACTCTATTACAATCCTGAGCCAACGTAGGTAGTGTGCAAAGTGGTAACTACCTAGGATCCACACACACATACAAGGTGACATGCAGCTGTTGTTACACAGCCTCAGAAATTCAGCCATCTCTGCTTAACTCTAGTTCAACCAGGAATTATTCCAGGGCCGTCGTGTGGCCTTTCAACCTGGAGAGAGAGGAAGGGAGAGAAGGAGGTAGGTAGGGAGGGAGGGAGGGAGGGTGTGTGTGTGTGTGTGTGTGTGTACGTACACAGTGCCTAGCACAATGGGGGCCCAATCTTGGCTGCTCCGTAAACACTCTTATAATACACATGGTTAAAATTATAGTGGTTAGAGTAGCAGGGCTGGGCGTCAGGACACCATGGTTCTAGTCCCAGCTCTGGAAGGAGAGTGGGGTCTACTGGTTGCAGCAGGATGTGCTGAATCCCTGGGTTCTAGTGTGGTCTAGTGGTTAAAGCAGGGGCATGAGAGTCCAGATACCTGGATTCTATTCCTCTCTCTCCCAGTATCATAGTGCCTAGGAGCCGCAGCCATGGACCAGGGCCCTATTGTGCTAGGCACCCTGTGTACATGCCTCCACACTAATGGCTCTGCCGGTATCACTACATCAGTAAAAAGTCATCCCACAATCCACATAATTGTACTGAGACAAACACTGTGTACACAGGAGGTCTTAGACTGCAAGATCTTTGGGGCAGGGGATGTCTCTCACTGTGTGTCTGTGCAGCGCCCAGCACAATGGGACCCCGATCTCAGTGGGCTCTGTGCAGTGCCAACACTATCAATTTGATCGACGGATCTATAACTATGTGCTACCGTAACACCACTAATAATGTGTAAATCTCAGATCCCCTGAAAGACACAAATCTGCAGTGCATTCGTTTCTCTCTGACACCCTTTACCGAGAGGAACGATGGGACGAGTGGGTGGCTGAGCGACAGGGAGAGACAAATGCATGCAGGTAGCGGGAATGTGCGCACGTCTCTGTTATCTGCTTCTAATGTATGCAGTGTTGTGGCTATATCTCTGAGGCAGCTGGAAGCTGGCGTGTCAGCGTTGCCATTAGAAAGCTCTTATTAACATGGATTTATACGTCTTCTGCAGCAGATTTTGCAGCCTGACAGATGCCGGGGGAAGATTTAGTGCTGGAAGCAAAGTGGGGGGGGGTGCATTAGTGGTGTTGGATTTTTTAATTGACATGGGGATCTGCTTTTTGGGTTGTAAAAGGAAAAAAAACAAACCCAGATTTTATCTGGACCATGGACCATGGAGAAGTTTTGTTGGGATTTTTAGCTTTGTGATTTTATTTTTAAATAATCAAAAATAGATGTACCTATCAGCTGACTGAGACTTTGTTGTGAGGTGGTGTGATCTATTGGTCAAGGCACTGGACTAGGACTCCAGACACTTGGATTCTGTTCCTGGCTCTGCCACTGACTTGCAGGGTGACCTTGGGCAAGTCACTGCCTCTCTGTTTCCTTCACGACTCTTTGTCTGTAAGTCGAAGGTCTTCAGGGACTGCCTTTTGCTGTGTGTCTGTGAAGAGCCAGCATAACGGGGCCCTGATCTTGGTGGGAGTCTATGCAGTGCCTGACCTGATAGATCAATTGATCGATTGATAGACAGAACACGCAATGCTCAGCCCCCATTCCCATGTTGCAGGCCTACCCCATCTCTAATCCCCCATGTAGCTCCACCTCCATAATTCAGGCTCCTCCCATTTCTCTCCCCTCTACAGGTCCCAAAGGTGTAACCCAGGGTCCGCTCCCCACCACCCCCGGCACAATGACAACAGCATCCACGGTGACCTCCACAGTGGTGACCACAGCATCAGCCATGGACCTGCGTGACTGGCTCCTGCTGTGCTATGGCCTGGTGGCCTTCCTGAGCGAGGTGATGGCCAGTGGCGCCTCCTGCCCCTCGGTGTGCCGCTGCGACAACGGCTTCATCTACTGCAACGACCGGGGCCTGACTTCCATCCCAGCCGACATCCCTGACGATGCCACCACCCTGTACCTACAGAACAACCAGATCAACAACGCCGGCATCCCCTCCAACCTCAAGTCCAAACTCAACGTCCAGGTGATCTATCTCTATGAGAACGACCTGGACGAGTTCCCCGTCAACCTGCCACGCTCGCTGCGGGAGCTGCACCTCCAGGACAACAACGTGCGCACCATTGCTCGTGACTCCCTGGCCCGCATCCCCCTGCTGGAGAAGCTCCACCTGGACGACAACTCCGTCTCCACTGTCAGCATTGAGGACGACGCCTTTGCCGACAGCACCCGCCTCAAGCTGCTCTTCCTGTCCCGCAACCACCTCAGCAGCATCCCGTCTGGCCTGCCTCGCACCTTGGAGGAGCTGCGGCTGGATGACAACCGCATCTCCACCATCCCGCTGCATGCCTTCAAAGGGCTGAACAGCCTGCGGCGGCTGGTGCTGGATGGGAACCTGTTGGCCAACCAGCGCATTGCCGACGACACCTTCAGTCGGCTTCAGAACCTCAGCGAGCTGTCCCTGGTCCGCAACTCTCTGGCTGCCCCTCCGCTCAATCTGCCCAGCTCCCACCTGCAGAAGCTGTACCTCCAGGATAATGCCATCAGCCACATCCCCTACAACACCCTCTCCAAAATGAAGGAGCTCGAGAGGCTGGACTTGTCCAACAACAACCTCACCACTCTGCCCAAGGGCCTGTTTGATGACCTGGAGAGCCTGACCCAGCTGCTGCTCAGGAACAACCCTTGGTTCTGTGGTTGCAACCTCATGTGGCTGAGGGACTGGGTCAAGGCCCGGGCCTCAGTGGTCAACGTGAGGGGGCTGATGTGTCAAGGGCCGGATAAAGTGAGAGGCATGGCCATCAAGGACATCACCAACGAGATGGATGAGTGCTTTGAGGCAGGTGCACAGGGCAACGCAGTGGCGGCCAAGACTACCACCAGCCACGCAGCCGTCACCACACCTCAGGGCTCCCTCTTCACCCTCAAGGCCAAGCGACCTGGGATCCGCCTGCCAGACTCCAATATTGACTACCCCATGGCCACAGGGACCGGCACTAAGGCCTTGGTTCTCAATGTCAAGCCACTGACAGCCGACAGCATCCAGATTAGCTGGAAGGCCATGCTGCCTGCAGCTTCCTTCCGGCTCAGCTGGCTGCGTCTGGGTCACAGCCCAGCGGTAGGCTCCATCACCGAGACCCTGGTGCAAGGGGACAAGACTGAGTACTTGCTAACGGCCCTGGAGCCCAAGTCCACTTACATCATCTGCATGGTCACCATGGAGACAGGCAGCACCTATGTGGCAGATGAAACACCAGTGTGCGCCAAAGCAGAGACAGCTGACACCTACAGCCCCACCACAACCCTCAACCGGGAGCAGAACGTCGACCCATTGGCTGGGCTGCCTCTGGCAGGGATCATTGGTGGGGCGGTGGCCTTAGTCTTCCTCTTCCTGGTCTTGGCAGCCATTTGCTGGTATGTCCACCGGACAGGCGAGCTGCTGACGCGGGAGAGGGCCTACAGCAGGGGCAGCCGGAAGAAAGACGACTACGTCGAATCGGGTACCAAGAAGGACAACTCCATCCTGGAGATCCGAGGTCCTGGGCTGCAGATGCTTCCCATCAACCCACACCGAGCCAAGGAGGAATACGTAATCCACACGATATTCCCATCCAACGGCACCAGCTTATACAAAAGCACCCATACCATCGGCTACGGCACAACCCGTGGATATAGAGAAGGCGGCATCCCAGACATAGATTACACCTATACATGATGGAGAACCATCGCTCCCTCTCAACCCTCACACTGCCCCATGCCGCTGCCACCTGGTGGCTTACAAATTGAGGAGAAACTATTTTCCCTACCAGAAACGGCTTGAGTGGCAGGCATTGGGGAGAAGGGAGGGAAAAACTATTTTGTAGAAAAACAAGGGGTGGTTAAAAATTAAAAAAAAAAAGACAATTTATATTTAATATTCCAGATTTCAAACAAACAACACATGCTCATGGATTGTTATGGATCGAGGCGAAAAAGCTACCTGTTCATATCTTTCCTCTCGTGTAAATCTATTTTCTTTTTCAGGAGTTAGGTTATAAAAGAAAAAAAAATTCAACACACAACTGTCATTCCTGACTGCTGACCGTTGATGGTTCAGCCATCCCTGCTTCAGATAGGGGAGAAGGAGGATTTTACGCTCATTTTAATGGGATCTACTTCCAACCCTTTCCTGTTTTTATTCCCATAACTGGTTTCTTGGTTTTACTTTTTACACCGCCTTCATCGATTGTTTCGTTAAGAGCGAACGGATTTGGATTTTCCCCTTCTCCCAAAGCTGGGGGGGAAATGGGAAAATATTCCATATTGCAGCATAGTTCATGGGCACGGACAATTGAATTGGACCCCTTGGTTAGCTCCAGACATTTCAACTAGAAAAATTATCTAATTCAATTCATAGCTTTGTCCATAGCAAAAAAAACAAATTGCATATATATATATATATATATATATATATATATGCGCACACAC